TGTGTACCTTTGAAAAGGTATTATGTGGGGTGATGTTAGTACAGATATCACCTCGTCAAGCTACCCTAGACGAACACATCTCTCTCATCGAGTATCAATTTTAATACAGAAGTAATAAAGTCTATAATGCATTAAAATTCAATCATTTCTTCTCCTCTTATAATATCTTCTGATTCACTTCGTTGCGGGAACCAAGACAGTAATTCATGTCCTTGGGACGTGCCGAACTTCAGTGTTCCGGTGTTTTCATGGTTGTATCTACTCTTGCAGGAGTTGCAGCGGCTTTGGAAAGATGTGGCGGGCTTGTCCCATATAAAAAAAGACATTAAAAGTCTACTGGCATTTGTACATTTGCACGTCGCTTGCAAGGACCTTTCGATGTAGTTTTATTAACAGCCGTTCGTAGACTTCTGCTAGAATAAAGGTCTCCACTACTCTACAGTAGTGATAAGAGTAGAATACACTTTCTTACCTCTACTAGGTAACCTTCCTACGGGTATGGTTGAAGCCGACTATATGACACCTTGGACAGACCCGTGCAGCAGTGCTCTCTGATGAACCTGAACTTTTTTACTGTGATTTCTAACTCGAACTTTGGGTCTTAGGCGTATTCATAAACTGATATTCGCGTAAGGGTGAGATGTTAAGAGCCAGTTTGATAACCCGACATATTAAAAAACAAAACCTAATATGTCGTTTAAAACTCTGTCAGCACTTAAGATCGTATTGTTTAAGAAATATTACTCGGGTTTTTTTAAGGGGGGAAAATCATCGAATTACTTCTTCTGCCTGGGTGAGGCGGGAGGGAGTGTCAGACTCTTACTGACTAGAAATTACCCCATTCCTACTCCTGCACTTCGTTTTAGGATGTGTATCAACTTCACTCACACAGCGACAGACATAGCAAACAGCTACAGCACGTCGGCTTTCTATGAGGTCCTGGCCTATCACTCCGGTCAAGCCGGTCCATTCTAACCGAAGCATGATTTTCCTATGAGAAAAAATGATAAATATTTTTTTATGGGATCAGCCGGTAAATGAGCAGACGAATCACTTGATGATAAGCAACCGGCGTCGCCCATGGACACCTGGAACACCAGAGGCGTTACAAGTGCGTTAGCGGCCTTTTGGAGTTAGGAATTTGAGGATTGTTGGCGATTCAGGGTTTGGAAAGGAGGTGGGGGATAAATAGGCCTGCAGTAACCTCACTCACACTATGAAATACAACGCAAGCATTGTTTCACGTCGGTTTTCTGTGAGGCGGTTATCACTCCGGTCGAGCGGCCTAATTGTGCCGAAGTATGGCTCTGCCACAATAATCCAATGATTCTAAAAATAGTATATACTTACTAAAAAACTTTGATTTCAGACCTTTCCTTTCTTTTCCAAATGTAATTCTATTTACGATTGTATAGAGAATAGATTAGCTTCAAATAGGTACTATTCAGCCCTGAATATACCTATCTGAAGTAATATAAAACCTAAGAGCTTTGTGGATTCCCTGAAATCCTAAATATAGAACAAAGGTTAGCTTCACAACTTTATATGTGTGTAACAGATAGACAGTCGATATTTTGACCTTTTAGTTTAATAAAGTAACCAATTATATAATTTAGTTAGTTGCCTAGTTGGCGCTAGTATCGATTAAAGTCCCCTTTAATAATAAAATTTTGATAAAGTCAAAGTCAAAGCGTTTATTTCAATTAAACCATGATTTGGTACTTTTGAAACGTCAACAAATACAAAATAAATAATAGTTTGTCAGTCTGTCAGTCAGTAAAGCTAGGTGAAGCTAGGTGCTCATCCAAAATGTAGATTCGAATGGAGAAGAACGAGCATAAAACTCCATTCATTACTCTTTCTAAAATGGTATGTTCTACAATGTCTCTGATACATATTCCAATACTGTACGTATATGTGAGAACAATGCAAAGACACGCTTGACGCATTACACTATTTATTTTTTTTATGGAATTGGAGGCAAACGAGCAGACGGATCACCTGATGGTAAGCGATCAGCGCCGCCCATGGACACCAAAATTACTAATTACAAAACTTACTAAAATAAAATTTTATAGTCTAACATGGTACTCAAATTAACATAAAATCGTGGCTAAAGATATTTTCGGAGCACGAAAGCTGGAATTGTAGTCGGTAAATGGCACTAGGTCATCCTATTACATGGGACTCATCACATAGGTGGTACCTAATTGGGTGTTAGATTAGACAAGTGCACCTCTGCCTATCCTTTCGAATATTCAAAGGCGTGACGTCACTATGCCTTAAAACATGTCTAATGTCGAGGAAGTAAACCAAGATTAAGGGAATTTCAGCTGTCACCCTGAAAATATAAGACGTATTTTCGTGTAACACCAGCTATTTTTGAATCGAGTTTCGTTCATTACCTGTTATGACATGTCTAGTGAAAAATGATGTCTCCTAAAGCTTACTTAGATGATGAAAAGAACAGTTTTATGCAGTATGTAACCAAGACATGAATGAGGGAACAATTTTCTTGTGAAACCGCTTAAAGGTTTTGCGTTTTCAAGTGTCAAAATGATTGTTTTATAAGTGTTCTTGAGGCTGCCTAGTTGGGCGAGTGGTTGCAAGTGCGATTCCTGGGTCGGGAAAAGTATTACTTACCTATTGGGTTTTTAAAAATTATCAGTAGTAGCACGAAGTCTGGAATTGTTCCCGGTATAATGGCAATAGGCTCACCCCCTATTATATGTGACTACAAATAGTGAAAAGTGATGTTTCGTAGTCTATAACCTTCCTCAATAAATGGACTATCCAAAACAAAAATAATGATTGAAATCGGGCTAGTAGTTTCGGTGATTAGCGCGTTTAAACAAACAAATAAACAAACTCTACAGCTTTACATAGTAGTATAAGATTGGCTGAACCAATTTTGATACTATTTTCAGGAAAGTGTTTGATACACTTAGGAGACAGTTTTAGTATATTAATAATCGACTTCCAAAAAAGAGAGGGTAGAAGACGTTTTTTTAAACGTAGTTTACATAATTATAATTATTAACACATCAGTTTTAATTAAAAAAATATATTTTGAGTGTTTTGTGCAAGAGTTCATAATGCGGACCTCCTCAAATACATGATTGAAGTTACCTCCAGGTAGGAGGTGGCACCCATCCATTTATCAGCCTGGTAACGTCAATATTCAACGGCTTCATAACATCTTATATAAATTCTTAATCGACAGCGAAAAATGGGAGAGGTCTCATAAATTGCTATTATAAAGTTTGGTTTTATTTCCTTTGGGGGGTCCACTAGGGAAGGGAAATAGGAAATATAGGAAGAGACGACAAGTTGGGAAGACGAAATTAAGAAATAAGCGGGACCCCAATGGACTACAGCAGCACAAGATACAGTGGAATACATTGGGTAAAGCAATAGGGGTTCTTATATAAAGCAAAACCAACCAACACTAACAATAAATTAACCTTAAGATTTTAATAGCACTAAAAATACTAACAGCAAGAAAAATGTAAAATAAACAATGTAAGAAATAAATTGCTGCCTCATTGGCCGAGTGGCCGCAAGCGCGGCGGCAAGGGGTCTCGGGTTCGATTCCCGGGTCGGGCAAAGTATTAATGGGTTTTTTTTAAATCACAGTAGTAGCACGGAATATGGAATTGTGCCCAGTATATGGCAATAGGCTCACCCCCTATTACATGGGACTCATAACATAAATAGTGAAAAGTGGGTGTTACATTGTACAGTGGCATAATGTACACCTCTGCCTACCCCGTCGGGGATAAAAGGCGTGATGTTATGTTATGTTATATAAGAAATAAATAGCTTTTTATATAATGTATAAGGTACTTTAGTTGATTTTACTGTCAGTTTGACAAACCTGAACGTTTTATACTGCGATCTCCAACCCCCTACCTACCCCTAGAAAAGATTATGTCAAACCATTCTTCTGTAGAGAATGCCCATAATACAACAGTGGGCTCTCATGGCTTGTAAATGAAGAGCGTATTCCTTTAAAAGGCCGGCAACGCACCTGTAAGTCGTCTTGTGTTTCAGGTGTCCATGGGCGACGCTGATCGCTTACCTTTAGGTAATCCGTCTGCTCAGTTTGCCTCCTATTCCAGAAAGAAGAACCTTTAATATTTTCAGTGATATATTTTCTTGAGTGGATCACTATTAGTATCAATACAATTTGTATAAAATTTACGATTACCGAGTGCTTGACATATAAGAAATAGGCAAAACGCTGATTGCAGAAAAATGAAAACTTAGCATAATAAGGTTAGTATTACGTCCCAAGTAAAGAATTAATTACATAAAAGATAGTTTCCAAAATCACACACAATTAAACAAAATGGACACTATAACCGATAAAACACACAGAAGATCTCAACACTACGATACAGAAAAAACAACGAGACATGGCATAATATGGTTACTGCACAAACAAAATAATGAATGGAATAACACATTCGTCCCCTCGTAAGATTGAGTAATGCAAGTAATTAAACAAAAACGAAACCAAAGAAATATGTTGTTTGCTTTTATTTTATAATAATGTTGATTGTTTTGGCTTAAAACGTTTCTACAATGAGTGTACGACCACTGATAAAGTCGCTCATATAAAAGTCGATACAGAATCCTCACAGTTCATTGTGAAATGTTCTACAATTGAGTTGCTTGTGTATTGAGTTATAATTTCACGAAAAAGGTATTGTGGTTTATTGTAGTGTGGATTTCGTGTATGGAAAGTGATTTTATTATCATTTTTGTATTTTCTTCCCCTGCAGTTAAGATAGCGAGTGGATTATCTTAAGATTGCTTGCTAAGAATCGAAAGTGTTTGTGAATGTGGATTCGTTTTCTGTCTTATTTCTTTTATTATTTCTTCTATGGTACTTTTAATCAATTTTGATACAATATAAGACAATTTGTCAATATTATCTGGGTACTTAATCAAGTAGGTACATACTATTGTAAAATCTTGTATTGTAGTGATTAGAAATGTGCGGCAACCAGGTGTGTTTTGCAAAAAGGCCGAAACGACAATGAACACAAACACACCTGTGCAGTAAACAGTAGCATTTATAAATGATAAGATTGATTAATGTAACGTAGAATCAACTTACAAATTTGCAGTCTTTATAGATCCCTGTATGCGAGGTACAGCTGGTACATGAGTTGAATAACCGCTATTATTGTTATCTATTACATTTTGTTTAACATCACACTGTAATGCTCTCTCGTTTTAATAGGACGGTATGTGTTTGTGTGTTGTGTGGCTTGTATTTTATTTTTGAAATAAATTAAATTACAAAATAAAGAAAACTTTATCAAAACAGTACCTTTACTTTTTGTATGAAGTTCAAGGATGAAAGAGACGAGGGATAAAACAACAAATAACTAACAATTTTACAGTACTTATTAAAGAAACTAAAATGACATTCAATTTATTTTCAGATGGAGAAAACAATACTCCTGCTCCTGTCCATAGCGACATCAATAAGCTCAACTCCAGTGATGACAAGACAAAGTCTGCAAAGGCAAAAGACCAGAGAACACTTCTGCGCAAACCTCCTCAATTTCAACAACTTCTACTACTCTTTAGAAGAACAAAAGAATGTGACTGGAATCCCAGCAGACATGAGCATCCATTGGAAGACTGGCAAAATCTACTTCACTCTAATCAGTGACGAAATGAAAATGAGTCTCCAAGTTTTAAACCCAAGTGGTGAATTCGATTTAATCAAAGTAGCTGGACTGGGGCAGTCGACATGTGTCGATAACCTAAATGACATCGTATATTTAGCTACTGATAACGGTGTCTACAAATATAAAGATGATGGCTCTATCGAACTGTTCACAGCTTTGGGCGAAGATGTAATGTACATAGCTGTGACTAGCGACGGAAGTGCAATGTACATAGCTACTTGGCCTCAAAACAGAGTCCATAAGATTACAAATGACGGACAAAAACAAGAAACGTTTACTGCCATACCTAATGGGCATGGGCTAACAGTAGATCCAAGAAACAACATGTATTTTGTTGCCACAAAAACTTCTTATATCTTAAAGAATGGTTACACTGTTCCGATTAAAATCAAAGGTTTGCCGAGTGACAAAATGACTGGGGTATTTGTCAGCCGATCTGATGAAGTTTTCGCTATGGATGAGAACAGCAATTTGTACTCGGTTGATCCAGAAAATTCAAGTGCTAAGCATTTAGGAACTTTCAGTGTTTCTGGAGTGAATTCTTTTGCTATGGACTCGGCTGATAATGTGTTGATTGGAGTCAAAGGTGCTATTTTGAAGTTTAACGCGTACGAGCAGTCTCCTTGCCCAGAGTACGAGAAGTAAAATTATTTGTGTTGTGTGTTGTGACTAACTGAAATATTGTTTAAGTATTTATTGTTTGTTTATTAATAAACTCATTTCATTAACTCTTGATGTTAGTGGAACAGCTGTCTTCTTTGATTTTCTTCTTGTAAGTAATCCGTTTATTCTTTTTCTGTGTTTAATCTTGCTATTTCCATTATGTTTCTCTTACTACATGTTTGTGCCCAAAATGATACAACTTTAGTTTTATCATTTTCAACTTTGTTAAGTTACTAATGATTACTTTATGAAAACGTTACATTAACATAATGGCATACCTATAAATCTCTAAAGTCTATATATTGTAAGTCACTATACCCCAATTATATTATGGGTCATTGTCATAAACCGGGCACAATTACAGACTTACTGTTGCAACTGAGACAAAGTGTCTCTAGAAATCGGAAATACTCTAATAATAAAATTAGCCTGACCTGCGAATCGAACCCGTGCTCGTGCAGTAGCACCTGTGAGGCTTGCGGCCAGAGAACCAACGGGGTAGTCAAATTATTCATAACATCACGCCTTTTAGCCCCGAAGGGGTAGCCAGAGATGCACATTTTCTATGGCACTTAACTCGTCGAGTACCGGTTTTATAGACACAATTAAAGAACAATAGGTCGCGGTCACCGGTGACCGCTTGGTGTTTGACAGTTTAACACCCACTTTTTACTATTTATGTCATGAGTCCCATGTAATAGGGGGTGAGTCAATATATTCTACTCTAGTAAATAAAATACATATAAGAAATCTAAAGCAATAATTAGGCATCACGCCTATCATTTGGCGAAGGGGTTGCAGTTATGTCATTAGTATTTTTAACTCGATTATATCATTACTGCAACTCTAGTAAACTTGGTATGCGCAGAAATGCAAGGCCTGGTCGTGGCTAAGGCTCGAAGCAGGAGTGGGAACAGGGTGATTTTTAGTTAGTATGAGTCTGAGACTCTTCGCTTCACCCAAGTCCAGAGATATAAATCCATAATGATCCTTTCTCAAAAAAAACTATAGGAAATACCAATAATATTTAGGCACCAAAATTCCCAATTGACGTAGGTCAATCGAGTTTATAGGTGTTTAACAGCAGCTCATTTTAAATAGGTTTTATTACACAAATTCTCTCCTTGTTTGACTTGACAGTGTAAGAAAATGGATGAATATTTATTTATTTTCTTTATACTTATAAGTCATATTAGGTACCTAGATATATCTTAAATTCTATATAAGTTTCAACGATTGTATAATAATTTTATAAGTACCTACACTTAATTGTAATGCCTAGTGACTCGACCCCACAGTCATACCATTGCAACGGTTTTGTGGGGCTTAAATTATAACATACTTATGTACCTGTGTGATTTAAAGATAAATAAATAATAAATTGTTTTCTTTGATTTTCAGTAGCAGCAAGAAAGGCAAGCGACACAGCCGCAAGAGGAAAAATAAGAAACGCACTACTTCCACTACTCCTGAACCCGCTGAAGAAGAAGAAGAAGAATAAATTATTGTATATTTATTGTTATATCCCCATTATACCACGTTCTAGTGTTTTTCTTAATGTATACGGACTCTAATTTAACATTTATATGAAACTTCACTTCATGTAAATAAAATAAAATTTTAAAATATACAGTAATTGGTTTTAATGCCATCTATGAACATTTAGTAACATTAATGGAATCCAGACTATTAGTGCCATCTGTTAAGCACAACGATGGCTATTAGCTGAACTTTTGTATACTAGATGGCAGCACATTTGCAGTAATTTAATCATAACGTGTATAAAATAAAGTGTAGTTATGAAATTAAATACTTATAATACTCAGCTGCAATCTAAAGATCTATTTCAATTATTTCATTGATAATGATAACATAAATCAATAAGATAAGAAACATTGAAACAAAACGATAAGCCTACAGCAGTATTAAAACGTGATAGAATGAACATTGCCATAATAAAATTATGATTCCAGAGTAGGGTAGATTTGAAAATGTATCTAATGTGTCTATTCTAAATAAAAAAGAGTATTTAATTGCCAAATACCATTTTTCACAACGCATTATTACCTTTGTCGTAAAAAAACGTTAATTTAACTTCTGTTATCGAACAAACTTACTCATTAAAACAAAAGTGTACGAAGGTTCTTATTTCCGTTTACAATGATGATATGTAAATAATAATTAGAGACCTACCTTAACTTGTAACTATTCCTTGACTTCCTTAAAACAACACATGCATTCTTGATTCTGCTCATGTATTGCAATTATTTTAATTAAAATTATAATTATGATTGTTGTCTTATTAACACTTTATTTAACCAGGCCTTGGTTGTGGGTCAAAGTAAATTTTTATTCATGACGGTAAGAAGCATTTTACGACCCCTCTTCCCCCTCTACCTCAAAAAGACAGGCGCTTAAAACTAATTTAAAAGAAAAAGTTATGGGTATTTTATCAAAGAGGATTGTAATGTTATACATAAAGAAATTGTTCATTTAATCATAATATTAGGGCTGTTATCTTTACTATTTTTTAAATATCTGTATGGCAGATAATTCATAAAAACATTAAGTACACTACATTTTGTAATTATTTACCGAATATAAAACTTAAAGTAATAATATTGATTTAAAATATCGCGTGACGTCAACATTCAGCAAATTGTATCCCCAATTTAAATAAAAATAAGAACTTCACATTAATCACTAGTTACTAACTTTTCAGCAATAAAATACTAAAATAAGAGAATTTGACTAAGTTTACATTTATTCAACCGACTATTTTACATGATTTGGAGGAAATATAAACTTATACATGGCAACACCAAGTTGTCCTCCAAACCAACCTATTTTATTTTCTGTCACTTGGTTCATTCATTTATTTGTCAAATTGTCATACGCGTCGCCGATGTGTCAGTGGGCGATCGTTGTATAGCGTGTTATTTGTGTCGTAAATGTGGTTCGATTATGTGATAATGAGAAGACATGCGCTTTACAACATTATTATTAAGTGATGCATGTGTTTTGAGTTTAGTGTCGTGTTAAAAAACGTTGTTTTCATTTGTATGTCATCGGACTCTTCAATATGGCGGCCCCTCGTCACAAATCACAACAGAAAAATATATCTTCGATATTTTCGAAGTTGCACGGGGCGTTCTCGGACGCGGTATGCCCTACTAAACTTGCGACCGATAAAAGGACATTGGATAAGACTTGGAAATTGATGGATAAAGTTGTGAAATTGTGTCAGCATCACAAGATGAATTTGAAAAACAGTCCGCCGTTTATTCTGGACATTCTGCCGGATACGTACCAGCGTCTGCGTGTTATTTACTCGAAATACGAGGACAATATGCAGGCGTTGAACAGTAACGAACATTTTAACATATTTATAATTAATTTGATACGGAAATGTAAGCAGGCTATAAAGTTGTTCAAGGAAGGGAAGGAGAAGATGTTTGATGAGAATTCTCACTACCGTCGTAACCTGACGAAGCTCAGTTTGGTGTTCAGCCACATGTTGAGTGAGCTGAAGGCGATGTTTCCGAACGGAACGTTTGCCGGTGATCAGTTTCGCATCACGAAGAGCGATGCCGCCGAGTTTTGGAGGACTAACTTTGGAAACAGGTTAGTTTTGCATTTTCTATTTGAAAACAGGACACTGGCCATTTCACTACCTTATTTGGACATATCACATAAAATCGTTGATTATTATAATTCAAGTGGATATCATTATATCTAAAACACTAGTATTCAATTCGTTTTCAAGACTTGAGCTTATATTAGCCAATATATCACTAAGACTGGTTTTTGTCTTGTTGGTTCCGATGTTCCTATTAATCGCATAGAATGAAACTGGTAGGCATTAGGTAGCCAGTACTGCTTTGATGACCTGTAACTTTTATCAATTTACTGTCAGTGAACATTCAGGTACATCTTAGGTAGATTAATACTCATATAAACAGTCTTTAAAGTCCACTACTTGGCTATCGATATCCTCAACATAGGAGAATTTACTATAATTACAACGCTTGGTTCAATCCCCAAGTGATCACCGGTGACCACTCTCCACTAACACCGTTATAGACTTTATTCCAATGTTTAGAGACTACTTTTGTATAAACAAATTTAGGGGATTATACATCAACATTTTAAAAAGGTACCAATGACAGTTACTGCCATGTCTCTGTATAATGTGCAATATTTTTATTGGCTCACATAGTTATTTGTGTTTCGAAAATGAAGGTTCATTATAAGACCAATATATTGAAGCGGAGATCTCTTCTCGAGCATAATTGTAAAGGGATGCACATAACAAGATCTCTTGAATGTATTTGCATCACCTTTTAACTGTACATTGGAGGAGATCTTCGCTTGATTATTGATATACTTATTGGCTTTAGAGGTGATGACTAAATAATGTTCTCTATTCTGCCAGCATTCAAATCTTATTATTTGCTACTAAACATAATCATATCAATTAAAAAAACAACTTAAAAACAAAGATAGTAACTATTTATCAAATATCAATTTTACTAAAATGGAAAAGCTATTGTTTTAGTTTTTTCCTTGAAATCTTTCTGTGTGTGTGTGTTTCTATTACATTGTTTATGAAAATTCACACACGCATGCGCTCGAACAGGTGTACATGTTTTTTTCCTTGTATTATTGTATTTATATTTTGCAATTTTGTGTAATGAGATTACCTATAGTCCATCTGTTTAGGTAATTAACTAAAGGTAAACAAAGAAAACCACGTGACACAGGGATACTTAACCTACTATTACTTCAAATATTTCTCGTGTTTTAATTTTAACTAAATTCGCTTTAAAATCGTTCAGTTGTCATACACACACATACAAGTACAAATTCCTAAATCGTACAAGAGCCTAGCCTATGGGTCTATTTCATTATCATGTTTAAATAGAAACTATTCTGAATATGATGTACGGATTTCTTTCTTGTACGGATATGTGCCTTTGGGCCAAGTTTCTTCAATATATTTGAACACATTAATTACAAACGATGTATACCTAAACTTAAATAACTTAATAACAAAAACAAAACAAAGAAACAAGTTAAATTCAACAAAATAGGAACGCGAGCGCAAACGACGAGGGAGCTGTCAATGGCGCCTGATTAACCGACTAAACGTAATACACGCTACTTTCATTGTCGCGCTACATCTTAGGTGTACTCTTTAATTTGACAACATTATTTTGCTTCGTTCTTAAAGAAGGGTTTTGAATACCTGGGATTTTAGGCTCTTTATGGTGTCTATTGTAATGAAATATTATATTATTTAATAAATGTTATTAAATTAACATCCTCAAGCAGATATTTATAATATTTACTAAGAAATAAGTGAAAAGGAACAGAAACATAACATTTAATAGAGAAAACTGTCGTAAAAAGGGAAACAATTTTATTTTCTTATAAAAGTATTTTGAATCATGGAAATGTCAACTATAAAGAACTCTTTTTATGGTTTGTTTACAAATAGTTAACTACCTAAACAGACGGAGTATAGTTCATTGTACTGTTGCAATGTTTAGTATTTTGTTCGGCATTACACAGTTTTAAGTTTTTATTTTCTAAACAGAATTGATGTATTTGTTTGTATAGTTAGGTATATGTTTTCACATGACTAAAATACTCTGTTACTCATTATAGGCACAAACTTATTTCCTTTACCTATTTTTCTCTGAATGTTCCATTTTATTCTAATGTTGATAATAAGAGAATGCCATATGGCATTAACACATTCTTATGTGCCTAATATTTTGACTTCTTCATTCTAGTCGTCTAGTGCTTGCTTACTAAAATTCAAAGTATAAAATTTTGGAATTCTTTTTTATTTTAAAGTGTATACTTTAGCATCTTCAGTGTTATCATTCAATGTTCTTACTATTATTATAGAAAAAACGAATGAAAAAAAACCTTCTATCTCTCTACACATCAAGGATAAAAGCCATAATAATACTTTTTATCTCAACAATAAGATCTTATTTCCTAGAGCAGCTGAACATGTTACCACCATTGTCATAGAATCTCCCTGACAATTGATAATTAACTTTGTTCATAAAACAATAGGTTTTTTATTCACATGTCATGCAACACTTCCTTATTGAATGTCACAGCTTTCTCATGGGAAACTGATGGAGATTTTTACTGTATAATCTAGATATTTTTTGTATCTAGTTAGTGTTTATATGTGAAATGGGAGTCTTAGATGGCGTCTGAGTTAGCACATGAATGGACAATTTGTTTTGTATTTTGTACAGAAAGTAACTATTCTATAGTACTTACCTAGATTTCATAATTATGTTTTTAAATAACTATCTGTGAAACTGCTGGAGAGATTTTGATGCATTATCTATGGTTTCATAATTTTTTTATTTTACATCCCTATTACTTATTGTGTTATCTGTTAGTAGCCCTAATGATTGGTCTTTGTTAAAGGAGAACCAAACAATTTATAAATATAGCTTGGGACAGACAATCCCACTAGAAATGTTACAAAATCATATGAAAGAAATCATTACTATTAGATTCAACTTTTATCAAAGTAATAAAGGAAGTTGTTATCACAAAATTTTCTAAGCCACCACGTAACTTAGCAGTCAGTTGAAATCAATCATTATAATACCAATCAATCAACGGGTAAAACTGTATTTTATGACGCAAATCATAAGATTACTTATCCATTCATAAAATAAAACCGAAAGGAAATAAGTCATTTTATGAATGGACTCGGTTATCAAAACTTATCAGGTGGATTGACTGAAAAAACCTAAGTAGGTAGGTACCTATTTTATCTATGGTGAAATGCCATGTCGGTACATATTTGAGTGCAGGCAGGTGTGTGTACTTCTCTGTGGTAATATTTGGAATGATTTTAATAAGCTTTTGATAACAACTTTTCTATTATTTTAAACCAAAATGATTGCCATAGTAGGTAGGTAGACTTAAGAACTAGCAATACTAATTTCATGTGGAGACAGCAGGTTAAAGGTCTTTTCTGTCATAATTCTTTATTGAATTTTAAACTTTATAGGATTTATGTAAAGTTGAATATCCAATAGGTATGGCATGAAGTCAAAAATACTATGTAGGTACCTTACAATTGGTATTAGATTTGTAAGATGACAAACAATGCATATTGTAAAAAATGCATATTGTACAAAGTAAATTGGTACCTTCCGAAAACCAGACATTGTTATTTTGTTTGCAGTTTTCAAAAGTAACCTACCTTTTTGGTTCGAATAATTTTGGCTCTGAATTATCGACCTTGTATATTTCGGAGGAACGGGGTTTCGGGAACCCCTGTTTTGGAAAATATAAACAATACAAGACCATCACTCAGTCATATAAGATGTTTTTTTTTGCACGGGCCAAATCACTCATGGCTTGGGTTAGGCGAGAGGGAGTGTCAGACTGTTACTGACTAACAACCACGCCGTTTTTAGCCGGAACCCCGGCAACCCATTAGGCCTTCCGCGGCGTACTCTTTTCGGTTATCAAAAATGAAATTTTGAATTGGCAATAACAATCAAACTATTACATCAACGAGTGCAATAAAACTAAAAACAGGCAGTGTGCAAAAATCTCGGGACATACCTACTTATTATTTTTAATTAATTAATCGTTTCCTTTCGTCGCCTTATCGATAGTAAATTGCAATAAAAATATAATATCGTTCTCAATGGACTGTACTTAATCTTAATTTGATATTAGGCATTATAACGCCGGATGTGTAATATTTTATTTTATCAATAATCTTTGAACGAGTCGATCATTCATTTTCTTACGTAAAATTGTGATTGTTGTGTCGATAAAATGTTTCTACCTGCTTATATTCCTACCTACTTATAATATAATCGTTTTAAAATAGAATGCCTTGGTGTAGTTAATATCTTTCATATAGATCCTCTCTATCTCTGCTCTTTGGCTTCCCAACTTCTCATATTTTTAATTAAATGGTGGGTATTTCTTTTCGGGGTGACTAGTATTTCACGGTTGTGTCTACTACCTAGAAGTTTTTTTCATCTTCTTTTATGGTATCTTCTGATTTATTACGTTGCGGGATCAAAGACGGACTTCAGTTTTCCAGTGTTTTCATGGTTGATTTACTGTAGATCCCGGCTTACAGGAGTGGCAGCAGTTTCATGAAGTTGTCGTAGCATGTCCAAAAAAAAAAAACTGGAAGCTTAAATAGCTAAAGTGTCTATAAAAAATAATTCATAATGTACCTTCCAACCTGACTAAAACTATACGGGTAGTTATGTACCGCAATATGCCACAGAATTTGCTAAACACACGTGTAACCTTCCATTGCAGTCCCGTTGCAATTGAATGCAATGGAGTCGCACAGTTACTCAAAAATGTTGCCCAAATAAGTAATTAAACTGGTTCAATAGAAATGTTAACAGGAAAACGATTTTGGACCGTGTACTTTACAATTTAGGAGTAAGTATAGAGAGAGACGGAAAATATTTCGTTTTCCACTTTTTGGTTTCGATTCTAGGTAGTTATTTGATCAGCCCACGTTACAGTACCTGCAGTTGGTTTGAAATTAAATGAATTCATAGAATTGCTAAGTAATTGATTTTTCGTTTGTTCCATTTCTGAACTAACTGACTGTTTTCCTGGAGCTTGGAATAGGTTATTCTTGGTGGTAGCTTATAGAAAATAATACTTAGAAGTTTCTGATTAACTAATTTATTCATGAAAAATCGAGGTTGAGACCCAATTTATCCTAGATGGTTTACTACTCTTAAATTGGTCAGAAATCGACTCTTTATTCTATTAACTCGTCGAGTACCGGTTTTATAGACACAATTAAAGAACAATAGGTCGCGGTCACCGGTGACCGCTTGGTGTTTGACAGTTTAAATTATACATATTGCGAAATCTAAACACCATGATATCATTTTATTCCCAAGTCCAACCTAAAAATCGTGAGTTCGTAAAACCCCAAACATTTTAGGATATGAAACGGAAATTTCATTTCTTATCTTCATATGGTTCTTCAACTTCTTTAATATTCTTCCTTTGCTACAGTAAACGTAGTTACTCATTATTGTCATTATTGTTTATTTATCTATTTTGCGAACAAAATACGAGTTGGTTACTAGAATTAAATTCAAGCATGGATTTCCATGCTAGTTCCTTTTTCTTAACTTTGGTTCCAACAATAAGAAAAAACATGTTACAATGTTAGTTATAACAGTTTGTATTTCAATTCCCTTCCAACGACAAGTCTAGAAATATTCCCCTAAAACTAGAAATAAGCCAACCAACACAATTTTTGCAGAAACAGCATTGAACGCAACATTTACGCAAAGTGGGTATTTAAGACCCACACAAATCTCCCACTCGTTTTATATTTATAAATAAACTTACGTAAATATTATTTGATACGAAATGTGTCACAGAAATGTATTGATGTGATTTGTAACGGGGATGAAGATGTACCTACGTAATTTTTCCCTCAATATTCGTTAAATTGTTTTACACTCGGATTCACAGTGAAATGATTGGTATTTACATCTTTCTACTCTTCGTTGGAGATTTTGAAGAGGCTAAAGTAGGTTTTACTCAAAATATAGCGATGGAATAGTACCTACATGGTTAGATCCTCTTCAAAAATACTGTTTTCGAAGTGAACGAATCGTTCAATTCATAGATTTGTTGTGAATCTCTTGTAAGTACCAAGAATTAACTCGTCGATCGAGTACCGTATTTATAGACACAATTAAAGGACAATAGGTTGCGGTCACCGGTACCGCTTGGTGTTGGACAGTTTAATCAGCACCTGCTCTTCAAACATTCTAGGAACGTTTCAAATTCCTGATGTATTAGTAGATTATCTAACGGATAAAGAGCTTCATGTATCCCCATCTCTCCACCTGCTTCATTACACGATCAGCATTAAGTCACATAACATAATCCTACACAGCGGAAACCAGTTGATACATTACTGTTGTTCAAGCTCAACCGACCGACTCGTTTCCAATCCAGTGACACAACTTCACACACGCTAATGTCGGTCGGAAACGATAGCACATTGAATGCTTGTGGCTGAATCAGATGTCTTTTGATACCAACCCCGTTAGAAACAGTTGTTCCGAAGGTCTAACTAGTTTAAACATTTTTGATAGAATCGTCACAGGCAAAACAAGGTTAACTTTCTCCAGAATATTCTAATTTTTATTTTATTTTTTCCTTTACTAACTAACCAGCTGTATGAAATGGAACGCAAATTATATCGTTCTAATGAAATTATTACAGCTTACTCGTACCTCGTAATTTTCCTAAATCGATTGCGGATCTCTCCGTAATCTTTTTTCGTGTGATTCTGAGAAAACATAACTGATTTAATAGTCACGTCTCAATATAAAAAAGGTGAGACACGAAAGATCGATGATCACCGACTTATACTTCAGTTGTATCCGGTACTCCGACAATTTGATTGGCTGTAAAAAATAAACGCGTAAGAAGTGATTGTAAGAGAATCAAATTGGCACTCCTTTGGGCGTCTTCTTAGAAGAAGAATTATCCTCGAAGAATGTCCGGTTACTTTTCGGCGTGCTCGTTTTAAATTCTTGATTGTACGAAATGAAAAATTTTATCAAAACGTAGCGGTTGTTTCATATTTTACATTATGTCGTTTAGAATCCTTTCCATGTCAACGTTCTGTGTAATAAACTCAAGCGCCTTTCCGTACACGAAATTATAAACAAAATAATTCCCAACATTTTCATGTATTTTCCTGACGTGTCACCTAAAAGCTTATTTAACCTGAAATTAAATTTCGAAAGAGGTCTTGCTTTTACTTTTGAACATATTTAATTATGCTCTTTGTTCGTTACGTGCCTAACTGTGAACGTGTATATGACATGTTATACGTTTTACAATAGAATACCTACTAGTTTCTTAGCAGATATTCAGGCTCCCGTCTTAGGAAACTTTTGTTTCACAATGAGTAATTTGGAACTCAAAATATTCTATTAAATAATTATAAGACTTTGTCGGACTTGCCCAAAGAATCAGAAAT